TTCCCTGCTCTTCATGTGTCAGAATATAATGCCTGCATCTGTGACTTCCACTCTATGCATCTGAAGAAGTGAGGTTTTTACCCACGAAAGCTTATGCCCAAATAAATCTGTTAGTCTTTAAGGTGCCACCAGACTCCTTGTTGTTTTTGTAGATACAGACTAACACGGCTACCCCCTGATACTTGACACTTTGTGCTTTGTACTTCTTAGGAATGTGTATTTCTGCAATATCAGCCCTGTTCTTTGCCAGATTCTGTGAACAGGTCCTGCCTTATACCGGGCTTCTGATACAAGGGCTTATGTTTCAGGCTCTCTCCCTACTACAGGGTACAGGTGGGATGCCCTAGATTTTGGCAAGGAAACATAAGAACTGGCTGATCATCTTGGTTATTGTGAGACATTTATATGGGAAATATTTTCAGAGCTCTGCAAAATGCAGAATATGATGTTCCAAAACTGTTGGAGATGAAGCAGATCACCTGAGGTGGATGGGTCTCAGAGCTAAATCAATTAAGGGTGAAAATAATCAACATCTTTTGACCTAGCCCAGCCCTGTATTTCCTGCTTGGACCACATGAGCATTGACAAAAACAAAGGAATCCAAAGAAAAGCCTCTGACGATGGGACCCTCTAGGCTGAACACCATGATTATGGAACATCCTGATTATGGAAAGACACAAAACGTCAGAGACTAAGAGAAGAAGAGAGTGCACAAGATGTTATCCATTACAGAGGTGACATTCTGCCAGTGGGAGTGTTTCATGAAAGGTAGATTCCAGCTCTCTGGGCTGGACTAGTACTGTAAGGACTGACCATCGGGCATGGGCGGCATGTGAACTGTCCGTTCGGGGAGGCTAACCCCAGCCCCTCCCCCACAGCTGCCGGCTCCCCAGTCCCAAGCCACCCTGGCTGGGCCGCTCCACCCTAGAATCTCTAGCCCTAGGCCACCCCGGCTGGCCCCAGCACCCCCAGCCCTGGAGCGCCGGGTGGGTGGCCTGAGTGCCCTCAGTCTGGGAGTGCTGGGCAGGCGTCCCCAGTGCCACCAGCCCTGGAGCACCTCCTTAGCCGCAGCCCCTTCCCATTTTGGGGAAGAGGAGCAGCCTGGGCTGGGGCCACGAGGGAACAGTGCGAAGCAGGAAGATCTTGGGAAAGAGCATGGGCAGGGCAGGGCTGTTTAGGGAGGCTTAGCCTCCCCTGGCCTGCAATACTTGCTGCCCATGCCATTGCGGGAGAAATTCCTTATTAGACTGAAAAAGAACTTGTTAGTTAGAATAGACTCGAGACTGCATTTTATGTTTTTCTTTTCTCTGTAAACTGGTGATTCCAATCCTTGTACTTCTATCTATTTTGGATCTTTTTCTTAAGCTCTGTTAAATTAACTTATATTTGGTTTCTACTCTACACATGACCAAGTGCTTTGCGCTAAAGTGTGTTGAGTGAGGGGAGGCTGGTGAAAAGGGGTGCACTGCTGGCCCGGGAGCAGCAGATTGATGTATATTGTGGGTATCCAGAAGAGAAGGGACTGGGCACTTGAGTGTCCAAAGGTGGAGCATGCAGGGATCATGGAGCCCAGAGTGGAGTGCTTGTGCTGCCAGCAGCTGGCAGAGTTGGGACCATTTTTTCCCCTAGAATGTTCTGATGAACATCAGCTCTCTCACCCTGTAAGCAGGTGGTAGTGACTCACCCCAGACACCTTGGGGAACCCCAAAAGTCTCACAGTGGCCTCTGGATGTAACCTGCTCTCAGGATGGCAGCAGCCTGGACACCTTCAGTTTGTTTCTATTCATGTCATTCAGTGCCAGCTTCACTGGCATGGAATCTGCATGACTGACCTCCTGTCCTCCTCACCCACGCCTGCCAAGGGATGGGGCAGCCTCCTCCAGAGTGGTACTGGGGCAGGGGATGGATGAGCATTCAGCTGGCAGAGGATCTGTGTGGGAACCTTGGAGGGCATTGGAGTGAACTGTAGGGCATGCCAACACTCGGGTGCTGCCTAGCCGGAATAGCAAACCCCAGTGATTCGCCTTTGGATCCAGGCCCAAAATTCCCTTTTTTTCAGGGGGGTTTGGATGCAGGTACAGATCTGCGTCCTATCTAAAGTAAAAATATCCCATTTTCCTTTCCCCATGATGGGAAAGGGGAATTCCCCTTTCACGTCCATGGACTAAATCTCACCCACATAGCCCCATTAACTGAGGTGGCCCCTTGTCTCTAAAGTTAACCTGTTCCTTCCCACTTGCCTCACCTCTGAGCCGATCAGCTGCATGCAGAGTTGAACGGTTGGAACAGCACCAGATGTGGTTCTCAGATTAGTGCCCTGGGGAAACAACATAAGGAAGGACAAGGTCAATAAAATCCACATGAGAACATCAGCTCCTGAGAACATCAGAGTGTCAGATGGCAACCCATAGCCTGTAATAGCTTTGACTGGCTGGTGCCAGTCTGTTATGGACAGCAGCCAGCAAGGAATTTGCTTGCTTCCCTGCTGCAGCTTAACATGCCAGGAGATTGGGGCTACCAGGTGTGCCAGGGCTGCCATGACACTCCAAAGGGATTCCAACAGGCCATCGGCAGGATATGGCTACAGGCATGCAGGAGTGAAGAGCCAGCAGTGAAGCAGTTAATAAGCTGGAATGAATGACAAATCAGAAGTCAACCCCCCAGCATTCAGCTCTATGGTCCTGTTTCTAAAGATGACTGGTGAGGTCTGTGCATCATTGCCTGCTCCCAGGGACTACCCACACCCAGAGAGAACCCTGTGCCAGCAGCTATACACTCCCCATGTAGGGTCCAAATCCAGAGAGGGGCTGAGCAGCCATAGCTCCCACAAAATGAGTGGGAATTGTGGGTGCTCAGCACCTTTTAGAACTTGGTCTAGAAATTATTTAACATGGGGTTAAGTTACAGGAGACAAGTATGATAGCTTCTCTTAGCTGGCCAGGGCCCGTGAGCACGCAGCAGGTACCACATGTTGGTGGGTTAACACCCTCATAAATGCTCCAGGGTCAATGCAGGCTGAAGTCAGCCTTCCTGAGCAGGGGCGGCTCTATGTATTTTGCCGCCCCAAGCACGGCAGTCAGGCAGCCTTTGGCGGCATGCCTGCAGGAGGTCCGCCGGTCCCGTGCCTTCGGCGTACCCGCCGCCAAATTGCTGCCGAAACTGCGGGACCAGCGGACCTCCCGCAGGCATGCCGCCGAAGGCAGCCTGACTGCCGCCCTCACGGTGACTGGCAGGCCGCCCCCCGCGGCTTGCCGCCCCAGGTACGCGCTTGGTGCGCTGGTGCCTGGAGCCACCTCTGTTCCTGAGTGAAGGTAACAGATTAGTTGCCCTGCAGTTACCAGGGTAGCCTTAAACATGAAAAATAACTGCAGGAATATGTTGACCAAGCAGGAATTTAGTTGGTTTGGATCAATCCGGAGAGCCTTGGTTGGGACTGGCTCTGGTTCGCCAGTCCCTGCTGGGGATGAACGTAACTGAAAGAACCTGGCTTTGTCCCCAGACACCATGCTCACCCAGTACTTCACTACAGTATTGTTCCCAGATCAGGCCGAGCAGATGCCAGACAAACTGGCAGCAGTGACAAGTGAAACACTCCTGTGGGTAGAGGAGGAAGCAATGACCTTTCATCCTCTCTGGAAGCCTAGAGACAATCCTGTGAGACTCCATGCATTGTGATGAGAACAAATGCCAGCTGCACAGGCCCTATGCAGCCTCAATGTCCATCTGCAGGGACATCAGAGTCACCTCAGATGTTCTCCCACTGCACTCCACATAGAGCAATTCCTCCTCTTTCTCCTGCTCCACAAGAGCTGTTCCCTGGATGAGAACCCAGGACTTCTGCTGGTTGCCTCTGTCTGAGTGAACTCCCCCTGGCCCTCATTGTACTGCTTATCATATTATCCCCCCATTAACACACCATGAGAAACGCCCCCCCCCCCGCCCTTCCTCTTCTCTTCGTCTGGCAAACACCTCTTCCCACCATGCAAAGCACCTCTACCCCATGCCTCACTCTTGCATGAGATCTCCTCCTGGCTGGCTCTGTTCATTCTAAGTTCTTTCAGCTACCCAGGCCAAACCAGGATGGGATCAGACAGCAAGGTGGGTGGTACATGACTCATTCTTATACAAGGAACTCTTCCAGCAGGACACAAGGGATCAGTGTTCGATCAGTCCTCAGCAGGACCCAGAGCAGTTACCTGAATTGGAACATCATCCACACGAACCCCACTCCGGTTGCTCTCTGCCACAAGACTCCGATACACACGGTTGGTTAGGGGCAACACGGAGTAACCCAAAGGCTTTGGCTTGTTCTCAGCTTCTGTTTCTGACACTGGGGAAAGGAATCACATCAAATACACTTTATAAAGAGAAAAAAAGGACTATTCCCTGCCGTGAATCTGGCAGTACTACAGCCCTAAGAGCCCGGAAAACCCAGCACTACCATGCTGAGACCCCAGAAACTCAATACTACTGTGCTGAGGTCCCTCAAGACCCAGCCTTGAGACTCCCAAAACCCAGCACTACCATGCTAAGATCAGCCCAAAGCCAGCATTAACTCCCTGAGATGCCCCAACACACAACACTACTGTGCTGAGACCCCCCAAACTCACCAGTATCATGCTGAGACCCCTCAAACCCAGCACTACCATGCTGAGACTTCCAAAGCCCAGCACTACTGCGCTGAACCCCCAAAACCAGAAAACCGAGCAGTCCTGCACTGAGACCCCCAAAACCCAGCACTACAGCCCTGAGATCCCAAAGCCCAGCACTACAGCCCTGAGACCTCCAAAACCCAACACTACCGCACTGAGATACTGCACTACCTCGCTTAGACGCCCCTAACCCAACAGTACGTCACTAAGACTCCCAAAACACACCATTAGCTTGCTGAGACCCCCCAAAACCCAGCATTACCATGCCAAGACCTGACAAAGCCCACCACTAATGCCCTGAGACCCCCATAGCCAAGCACTACCACATCGAGACCCAAAACCCACTGAGACCCCTCAATGTCCACCACCACCTTGCTCAGACCCCCCCAAACCCAGCACTAAAGCCCTGAGACCGCCATAATCCAGCATTAAAGCCCTCAGACCCTCCAAACCCAGCACTATGTCGCTGAGATCCCACCAAAACCTAGCACTACCTTGCTAAGACCCCCCAAAACCCCGCACTACCACACTGAGATCCCCAATGTCCAGTACTATCACGCTGAGACCCCACAAAACCCAGCACTAGATTGCTGAGACCCCACAAAACCCAGCACTACTCTGCTGAGACCCCCCAACCCAGAATTATAGTCCTGAGTCCCCCAAAACCCAGCACTACCTTGCTTAGACCCCCTAACACCAGCACTACCACACTGAGACCCCCCAAACCCACGACTAGCTCACTGAGATCACCCAAAATCCAGCACTACCATGCTGAGACCCCACAAAACCCAGCA